AAATCCTCAACCCTAAACCCTGTACCCTAAACCCTAATGTAAAAAAACAATCCCTACATGAATCCAAACCCCTGAACCCACCCCCTGTGAGCCACTCAGCACACCTCCGCGCTGTACTGGATGGTCTGCGCCAAGTCCCCATACCTCACTCCGACTTGTAGATTTACCGTATACAGCCTAAGTGTCTCAAGGGTTAAGACCCAAAAAGCAGATTGGTACCATACAAGGGGATCTGTAACTATCATTGAGGATCACATAAAAATTATGGGGATTTATAGCGTAATAACGGAAATATGGTAACTCCTATAATGAAGACTCAAACGAAACGTGAAATGGCAATTGAGGTTATGGACAGATTGTGTCAAGGTTTATTTTAGGTAAGAAGAAGGCTTGGTAACACCAACCCATAAAGTAAGGACCTTACAAGAGTCATATGATAGCAACTTGGTCCTGGTTTGGGGGCTTGTGTAAATCAAACTTCCTTATTCCTGAACCCTACACCCTACACCCCTAAACCCTAAACCCTAAAACCCTGAACCCCTAAACCCTTAACCCTCAACCCTTTGGGCATGGGGCTGCAAGTTACCGTTCCAGTAGGGATCTGCAAACACAAACAACTTGATCTCCCCCACATTGGAAAATCAAAAAGAGAAGCGCAGTGTAGAGCTGAAATTATCGTGTTAGCTCCAATTCCTACCCCTAAACCCTAAACACCGATCCCTAATCCCTAAATCCTGCACCCTAAACCGTAACTCCTGAACCAAAACTCGGGAAGCCTAAACCCTAAATCCCAGACCCTAAACCCTAAATCCCAGACCCTAAACCCTAAATCCCAAAGCCCAAACCCTAAATCCCAAAGCCCAAAGCCCAAAGCCCCAACCCCAAAGCCTGACTTTGGCTTCAGGTTGCATGGTGTGCACACCGCAGGTCCCGTTTTCGGAGGCCTCCTGTAGGGCCTTGTGCTTGCTGGCCTCCCAGTAGCCGATCTCCATTTCACAAGTGGTCACCTGAGTTAAGGGGTTTAGGGTTTAGGGTTTAGGGTGGGAATATAGAGTAAGATTATATCCTCCTTTTGGGGTATAGTGTTCTATATGAGGAAGATTATCTTACTAGGTTCAACCACCAATAAAAAACACTACTTACCTGGGCAAGGCTTGGAGCGTGTAAGGTTTAGGGATTTAGGGGTTTAGGGTTCGTGGCAGGCATTTAGGGATTAGGGTTTAGCGAATTAGGGATTTAGGGTTTAGGGTTTAGGGCTTTGGGATTTCAATTAGGGTTTAAGAGGCTATATCCGTGACAGGGTTTGGAGTTCACCGAGTTGCAAAACGGGCCTTGTCCAGACCTCTTGATTGAAGCCAAATCCCTAAACCCCTAAACGTAAGTCCTAAACCCTAAATCCCAAACCTTAAACCCTAAAGCCTGAATTTGGTATCATTTTGGCCGTGAACCCCAACTCAATTGCCCCACAACCTCAATATCACTCAACAAACCCTACACTCAAAACCTTAAACCAAAGTCCCTACGCATCCATATATACAGATATACATATATCTGTAAAGAGACCCTGGTGTAGATCTACATACACCTTGTCAAAATCCTTGTCATGTTTCGCCAACCAGCCACATCCCTACAGGAAAGGACTTTAACCATACATACATACATACATACATACATACATACATACAATCAATAGTGTATATATAGCCGTTTAGATGGGTTTAAAGCCAGTGGAAACTCCCTGAACCCTCCTCGACCCTAAACCCTCAACCCTAAACCCTCCACCCTAAATCCTTAACCCTCAACCTTTAACCCTGAGCTCTAAACCCTGCACCCGAAACCCACAAAGTCGTCCCTATATAACCCAGTATAGTACAGGAGTTTTCATTTTCTTTTTCATTCCTAAGGCCAGCCAAACCCTCCCACCTTCCACTTGGCGCCCACGGCCTGGCAGCTTGCCTTTGTATCACAGCTGCAGGAAGTGGTGTGGCCTCAACTCATGGGCTTAAGGTTAAGGATTTCGAATTTAGGGTTCAGGGCTTAGGATTTAGACCTTTAGAGTTTAGGATCTGCATCCCTGGGTTCGGACCCCTAAACCGTGGGATGTAACCCTTTTGGCTTGGGTATTAGAACTCAAAACCCCAAATTTCCACACCTTAAAGGTGCAAACTGAAAGTGTCTGATCACAGAAATGGGCTAGCAGGGGCACTGTAAGGGGGGTTTAGGGCTTAGGGTAGGCGAGCCTTGAAGGCATATATTGTGCTATGTAAGGATATAATAGGTTTAGAGCTTTGGGTGTGAGGTTTTTGGCTTGAGGCTGGGGTCTTCAGGTTTGGTTTACAGGACTAAATTGGCGGTGTGCAGTTCGACCATTTTGCCTATTGAGGAAAACTCACTTGAAGAAAAGAGTAGCATATGTAAAGGACGGGGAATTAGGTTTAGGGTTTAGAGTACAGGGAAGGACGTAGTCTCGGGGTTGTGCTAGAGGGATTGGGCTTAGAGGTGATTACGAGGACCCCTTCCCTTGTACAACCCTAGACCCAAAGTCTGAAACTGTATATCTTAATACACCCGACCCCAGCCTCCATATCTTCAACCCCAGGACTACGAAGTTCGTGATTTCTCCTTTTTCATTCTGTATACTGCCCCCTTGGCAAAGGCTACTCAAGGATAGCTTGAGATAATTAAATAATCTAGAACCAGGCGGGGGCTAGTATGGACAGGGGTTTGGAAAACCCCCTAAACCCTAAACCCTAAACCCTAAACTCCAAACCCCTAAGCCCCTAAACCCTTAACCCCTAAACCCGTAAACCCTAAACCACTACAACCCTTAACCCGTTTAAAAGTGCAGGCCCGTAACTTGTGCAGCCATGGGCTTTGCAGGTATCACCGTCCTAGGTTGCTGTCCAGGAATTTAAACAGGGGTTAGGGTTTTGGGTTCGATCCCTTTGAGAGGGTCGTAGCGGATATGTAGAAAGAGGGTTTGGGATTTAGGGCTTAGGTTTTCGGATGCAGGAATCCGGTTTTCAGAGGTTTAGGGTTTAGGGTACCAGAATGGAGAGTCAATTGGAAAAGACATGTAAAAATGAAATGGGAGCAGTCGCTGAATGGCTTATGTTAGAAGCTTACTTGAGGTACCGTATGTAAAATGCCCGCCGAAACCATAAAATTACGCCCTGCGCGGCTTTGCCCACCTCCACCACCCGGGACTGGCAGGATACACCAACCCCAAAGCGGGGAACACGCCTGCCCTAAAGGCCGCAGGCCATGACCAACAGGACATGATCAACACCCCCTGTTGTGAGCGCGAAGCGCCAAAAAGCCTGCTGATCATGCCCTCCTATCTGCGCGGCCACTGTGCCCTCACACCCCCAGAGCCCAGCACAAAAGCCCACACCACTTTGGAGCGGTGGACCAGGATGGCGAGCAAAAGGGTGGGCACCCACCAAATCATTTTCATGATTTAGAGCAGGCGCCGGCCAGCCCGCCTGCCTCACCCACCGTGGCGGAGCACAGCTGCAGAAACGGGAAAGAGGGGCGATTAACATCCGACCCGCAGCGGCGCTCTACGCAGGAACAAAGAAGAACCAGCCCCCCTGCCTCCCACCATCCCTTGAGCGCTCGGAACGGTCTGCGAATGCACAGAGACCCTAGCCACCAAACAACACCCCGCCACCTTCAACCATACTATGAGCGCATGAAATGCTCAGTGCATGCCCGAGGGATGATGGGTTATAGGTTCTATATTGGGGTTGTGAAGGGGCGGAGATAGGGTTAAATCCTAAGCCCTAAACCCTAAGCCCGAAGCCCTAAACCCTAACCATTTCTTTAATTCCTTAACAGCATCCCAGGATCTGGGTAATGGCCGTTAAAGTCGCACCATGAGTGCAGCTCCTTCTGCGCGAGGAAGTCTGCTGCATCCTGATTGAGGGTTTAGGGGTTAGGGTTTAGGCTTTAGGGTTTAGGTGGGTGAAGCCCTGTCCGCCTGATCACCCAAAAAAGGTGGTCCTCAAAAAGCACCCTAAAAAGGACCCCCCCTCATCCTCCTAAAGTCCTTGTCTTAAAACACTGGTGGCTGAGGCGGGGTTAGGAGAGTAATCGTGCTTTTAAATGGTCGAAACTGCATTCTATACGCGAAAGACTGTAGCCCAAAAGATGCCAAAAAACACTCCAAATTGGTGCCTATAATTTCCCCAAATCAAATACCACTGATGTGGGCAGATTCTGATAACAATTGTGTGGCCATTGGTAAACCTGGGGTCTCCCATGACACTTGCCTTAGGTAATTTCGCATGTACGCTACAGTTCTGTTGATGGAGGAGATCTTGGAATGTAGACCTTTGATGAATAAACCCCCTCCTTTCTTCAGGGCCTCAATATTTGGATCCCTATTATTACCCTAAACCCTAAACCCTAAACAGGCGAGGTCTGGGTTAGGGCTTAGAGTTTAAGGTTTACACCTTCAACTACTAAATTTCCTGCGGGCCTTAGGTGAGCGACGCGGGAAGTTCCCATCAAAAGAACCATCCAAAAGATGCCGAAGCCAAAAGCCCCAAAGACTTTTGGCCCATAAAGCTTAGGGCTTAGGATTGAGGATTCTAGTCAAACCACCCAACCCTGCACAGCGAAACCCTACACCTTCAACCCTAAAC